GAACAACTCTTGCTGTACTTCTTCTAAGACATATTTGTTTTTTCTTTTGTCAGCCCATGGGATATTCAATGTTCTTCACCAAAATTTACAAGTCAAAGGCATCAGTTCTTAAATCATCCTTGTATGTTGTTCAGCTTTCACATGCATATGAAGCAACTGAAACATCATGACTTGGATCAGGTACACTTTAGTATTTAAAATTACCCCGTGGCTCTCTTAACACTTTATAAAGAGGTCGTTGGCCGCACATTAGCCCAATGCAGTATGTTTGATTTCTTGACCATGAAATACTACCATAATACAAAAACAAATGAGCATTTACCATAACCTTTGATAGTCACTCTTGAAAGTTAATAGATTTGTTTCTGCTTGCTATAGCCATATAATTGAACAAAATAACTTTTTCATAAACAATTTTCTAAGATCTGGAGACAGATCTGGTTCAAAGCAAAGGTTAAGAAATCAAAGTTGTGGCTTAAATGTATAGTATTTGTTTACTACTTGTATAAATAAGTCATATTTATTATGTAGAAGAGTATTTTATGTACCTTTAGAGCTTATAAAATATATAGGACACACACAAAAACCCCTTACTTTCCAGTGGCCAGCCACCTCATCCTTGCACAAAACTAACCAAATTTACCAAACAACCAAGTAAACAAACCACCTTGGAATGATTAGCCTAAACTGTGCTGACCCTGAATATCCACCATCAGTCAAGAAGTGGGAATACTTTAAGTTTCAGTTTTTGTCTTATAATCTTATTTTATGAAAATAAGTTTACTGAAAGTAAGTTTGGAATAAAACATCATAAGAATAAAAACATATAGGACATTTCTGAGTCTGATAATTGTTTTGTATTTTTTCCTAAAGTCTGAAGATTTTGCTTTATCTGTGAGAGTGATTGATATACTTAGCCACAAGTCAGGAATTCAACTTTAAAATGTTCTTGTGGTGAAGTACTTTTCCCTCTGTACTAATTGACCTTATGACCTGGTTTCCAGGCATGAAGTTTGATTTCATCACCATCACTACACTAAAAAAGGGGTACCTAGAACGTGACTATACCACGGGGTACCTAAAACATGTGGAGAAGGGACTGAGACTAGCAGCTGACTTCAGATATTGTACAGAGCAGAGTACCTAACAACAGCTCACTCTAACAGAGAGTAATAAATGCCACATGAGAAGATTCCTTCAGCACAAAACTGTAAGTAACTCTGGGGACTCACAGGGGGCTTGGACATTTCTACTGACAGAAGAAAAGTGTCTTCATTTTGTTAACTTATGGCCTGCATACTTGTAAATTAAGATGCACTGAGTTGTTTAAGTACTAAATTTGCCTAGTTTGTGGATGAGAGCTTAAGCTAGAATAAAGTGCCACATTCCCCAAAAAGTAACTTGGGGTCTTTGCCATAAGACCTAAAGCAAAGGTTACATGAAATCAGTTGAACTAGATTGGAACTGTTATTGGGCCTTTGCCTGGAAAACCAATTAGAGAATCTTAGTCTTGATGCTGCAGGAAATAGAAAGACATTAGTCTCTTGAACCAGAACAATGAAGGTTTTGGAGGTTAAATATAGCAATACTGTACATATACATAAAAGTTTATAAAATTCTGATGTGAAGAAAAATGAGAGTATGACTATTGTAGTAGCTCAGGAGTGAATAAAAAACCTGAAGAGAATACTGGCAATAAGACTGAAAATGAAAGGAGTAAATTTGAGATACTTCAGTGGGGGGTGGGGGAATTATAAAATAGGAGTATTGGATAAAATATAAATACCAAAAATATTAAATAGGAGTATTGGATAAAATCTAAATACAAAAAAATATTAAATAGGAGTATTGGATAAAATACAAATACCAAAAATATATTTTCTGTCCACAAGACAATAGAGACAATAGTAGTAAAGCATGACTGACCTGCCAGGAGAATGAACAAATCTGCCTTGGAGGAGGTGCAGAAGTGTAGGCAGAATGTTCCTTGGAAGGAAGGATGGCAGGACCTCACCTAACATACTTTGGACATGATAACAGTAAGAACCAACCCCTGGAGAAAAACATGCTTGGTAAAGTAGAGGGTCTGCAAAGACAGAGGTGACGTCCAACCAGGATTGACAGAATGCTGCGACAATGGGTTTGACTGTGGCAATGAATGTAAGGACGATGTAGCACAGAGCAGCGTTTCTGTTGTACGTTGAGCTGCTAGAGTCAGAACCAATTTGATGGCACCGAACAGCATAATCACAAGAAAGATGGACAGTAAGGAGAAACTACAAGAGATGTTCTGTTTGGGTGGGGGGTAAGGGTAGTTGTATTGTCCTTAAGGTGATGTTAAACATTCCGTTGTAAATATCTTGATTAAAAGATCCCTCTTGAAGCTTTTCACCAAGAACAATTAATCCTTAAATATGTCATGTGCTGTTGAGTCAATTCTGACTCATAGCAACTTAGCAAGAGAACTGCCCCATAGGTTTTGCTAGGCAGTAAATCATTATGCAAGCAGATTACCACTCCTTTTCTCCTGAAGAAGAGCTGGGAGGTTCTAACTACAGCTTTCCGTGTGCTGCCTAATGCGTCAGCAGTTTTGCCATCAGAGCGCCTTCAAATATGTATGAATGCATGCACATGCGCATACACTTACATAAATAATTTGACTAGGTATGCAATCTTAAATTATAGAAGAAAATCCCTACACTTGTTTATCAGTTATAAGGATGACTAAAATATGTCACTATTTTTAATTTTACCTTCACTTCCTTACAACACAAGCTTTTCTAATGTAGAGCACTTACAATACAAATAATTCAGGCAGTTAATTAAAACTTTGCAAAACTGACATGATTTTATTTCTAAATTGGAAAAGCAAGTAATTTAATTGGGAGAAACACATTGATCTCCAGTTTCAAGAAACAGTACAGCACAAAGACCTGGCCTTCAGGCTGACGAGCTATAATAATAAACAGAAATTTGAAAACCAGGAAGACAAGTTTTCCAAGAGTGTACTCTGGCATTTCAAAGGAGATTTAACAAGAAATTCAGGAAGATAGACAAAAATAGGTTTAGATGATTCAGATTCTTTATTTGAATAGTTGTTTTTGATGGGGAAACATACTAATGAGGAAACGAAGGTTCTGTCTAAAAGGTCTTAAAGTTTTTCTTAATCAGATTTGAATCTGAAGAAAAGTGTTCACACACTGAAAACCCCAGTAGTAGGAACTGAGCAATGCTCAAAGTGTAGCCAAGGAGCTTAAATATGACCAAAGCACATGTATCACCCACCCCACCCCCCTAAAAAGAGGGGCAAATATTTTCATTTTAAAGGAGCTGTGTTGGCATAGTGCATTATGTGTTCTATAGAGGTTACAGGTTCAAGTCCACCATTTGCTTTACAGGTGAAAAATGGATAGTCTCTTCCTGTAAAGATTTCCAGCCTAAACCAGATGAGTCAGACTCAGTTCAACCACAGTACATCTAACTAAACTTTTTTCTTCAAACTACATTTGCTCACCTCCCTGTCTACAATAGTACTCAGATTTATTTATTAATAATCAGAATACAGTGCTGTTTTAGAATGAACACAAGAGGCAAGTTACCAAAGGGAACAAACTCAACCCACTCTCAAAGTGTGCTTAGTTACCTAGATACTAAATTATGGTAATACATCTCTTTCTAAAAACCTCTGCTGGACAAGGAGTTGTACATGTGGTTCAAAACCACCAACTCTTCCTCAGGAGAGACAGGCACTCTCTTCCTATCCCATTTACAGCTTCTGAAAACCCACTGGAGGGTCAGCTGTGAGTTGACTCCAATTCGAGGGGCAACAAACTGTGATCTCTTAACTTGGGAGAAACTCTTAAAAGGCTTAAGTTATTTAAGCCCATTGTCTGTTTAGAAGTTGTGTTTACAGAAAGCTCCATAAGGGCTGAAAGTTTTGTTCCTTGCAGGACACTCAATTGTATATGGATACAATTGCTTTGGATTGTATTTGGTACATGATAGGTGTCAATAATGATTGAATGGATGTTCTATATATATTATACATTGTCATAGTTAGTACATTTCTAGTAGCAATAGAACATTTAATCTCTAAACCACTCCCATTGAGTTGATTCTCCTCTTTGCTCTGAAAATCTGCTAGAAGGTTCACTATGGGTTGATTCTGACTTGACGGTACTCAGCAACAACGGCAAAGGAGTTGGGCTGCAACCCAAAGGCAGATGGTTAAAATCCACCAGCCGGTCCACAGGAGAAAGACAGGCAGTCTCCTCCCTTGCAGCTTAGAGCCCCTGAAAATCCACTAGGTCTGAGTTGGTTCCAATCAAATGGCAATCTGAGTGTTAAAAACTGTTAAGCATATCAAGAAACTCATACACAAGCGGGTTTTTTAATAGAGATCTATACAGAAGAAAGGAGTGATTAATGTGCTTGGGGAAGAGCTGCAATTACAGAAGTGGCCCATTTATCTCAGTAAGTTATTGAATTAGCATCTTACATCCTTTAATTCTCACAAATTTTATAAAGGAGATGTGCTTTATTATCTTTTTGGTATATCAAGAAGTTGAAGCATAGAGGTTAAATGACTTGGCATAAGGAACCAAGCAGGCAGATTCGAGTGCTGATGAAGACAGTAGAAGGCATGTCTGCCAAAGCACCAACTCCATGGTCTTGTGTAGAGCCAAACAGACCAGTGTGGTTGAGGCACTGCCGGGAGGTTGCACAGACACATGGTAGGATATGTGGCAGGCAAGTTAGGCTGAACAGACTTGACTAGCTTGTATATTCATGTCCAAAATGGAAACTTCCAAACTAGAAAAACCTCTTTATTATTATGTGTGTGTGTGCCGTCAAATCAGATCTGACTGGTACAGGAGATTGTCTCTCCTTCTCCAGTAGAGCATCTGGTGGATTTGAACCGTGTACCTTTGAGATTGCAGTGCAGCTTCTTGCCACAAGGCCACCAGAGCTCCCCAAAAAACCTAACTCTAACAGCTAATTTATTTCCTGTTCTGAGCTTGTTCTGGAATGATGGTAGTCTCTGGGTTCAGAGTTTTGTTCACAGCAAGGGCTTGTGGTGTCTTCATCCTTTCAAAGATGTAGCATTCCATTTTGTCTTCAGAGGATGCTGTTCTTGTGCTGACCAGACGAAAGCCTTCCTTTAGTAAAGTATCCATCAATAAGCCAAGGACATTAGCTCCATTGGCCAATTTTCGATTATCAGGTTTTATAGAAACATACCTAGGAAACATATACAAAAATATTAAAGAACCAGCTATTTAGTGATTAATAGTAAATATATAAATTTGAGTTACCACCTCAAAGGCTGGCATCAGATTTCTAAGACTATTTACAAGCCCAAATCAGTAACTTTAGGGTAGAAGCTTTACAGATACCTAATTCTAATTCCATACTGAAATTATCATTTCAATGTATGTAATTCTATCAGTAAGTAGTACCTGGCTTAAGTTTCTCTTATTTAATCCTATCATGTCCCATTTTGAGGAATGAAATTTCTGACATAAAAGAACCTAAAAAGGTAGCAATTTTTAGTCAATAACTATGAAGAGCACACATAGGGGGTTTAGATAGTACGATGGAGTCAAAATGGCAGAACCTACTGTCAGGGAAAATCTACAGAACAAAATACCTCATTCAAGAAAACATGGACCTCTCCAGAGTACTGAAAAACAGTGTCTGTCTGGAGACTAAGGTACACGTGATCCAGGCCATTGTCTTTGCAATTATTTGGCTTTGCTGTAAGTCAGAAAGCTGGACAATGAATAGGGATGACAGGAGAATTGATGCCTTTGAGCTGTGGTGCTGAAGAAGAGTATTTAATATACCATGGACTGCTAGAACAAACAAGTTCATCCTGGAGAGGCTGCTCCTTGGAGGCAACTGTTCTGAAGATTCGTCTGACATACTTTGGACATGCTGCAAGGCAGGATCAGTCCTTGGAGAGGGACGTTATGCTTGGGAGGGTGGAGGGACGTTGTAGAAGAGGAAGACCCTCAATGAGATGGATTGATTCAGTGACTGGGGTAAGGGGGGTAGCTGTGTCAGACACAATAAGGTTGGCTCAGGATAGAGCAGGGTTCACAGCTGTTGTACATACAAACACGACTCAACAGCACATAATGAACTTATTTATAGTCAAAGTAGCCAAGGGTGTCATGGGCTATGTAAACTGTTAATCAATAGTTTAAATTCACCAGACGTGTCAAGTAGAAAGATGCAGCAGTGTTCTCCTGTGAGGACTTACAGCCTAGGAAATGTTAATGGAGGGTTGCTATGTGTTGGAATCCACTTGATAGCAGTGGGATAAATAGTCTTCAATAACAATATAACATACAGTTAGTTCTATTTTATGCCATCAAAGATATATCTGTTTTCCCACCATATGTTTATGATATGTGAAGAAAAGACTAGCTGAAATTAGTTACAGGCAGCAATATTTGTAAAGAACAATAGTAAAATATAAGCTTTATCTACAAAGCACATCTCAAAAAAGTTTATTATGTTTGATACAGTTTTTAACATCAATAAATCATTCCGTTTAACCCAACCTCCAGATCTTGATTGTATTCCTTAAACATCTGTCAAAGAGAAAAATATTAACAGAACATCTCACAAAAGAATTAAAATATAAACAGTATGTAATAGATGATAACAAAGTGATAAACACCTGTAAGAAATCAAAACAATCTTGGAGATAATACAGGTTTAGTTCTAGATAACTGCAATAAAGCAAATCACTAATTGGGGTAGTGTGTGTGTGTGTCCCTGCTTATGGGTTTACACTATATTGTAATTTGAAGTGTGAAGTAACATTATGTTAAGTTTGCAGTATTTCAAGAATTATCAAAATGTGGCAGGGAAAGGAAGTGAGTGAATGTTGTTGGCAGATGGCACCTATACATCCATATGGTTGCCACAACCTTTAGTGACTGAGGTAATGGGAGGTAGGTGTGTCAGACAGTAAGATTGGCACGGGATAGAGCTGGGTTTAGGGCTGTTGTTCATCAGGTCACTATGAGTCACAGGCAACTCGATGGACCTAACATCTACAAAGTGCAGTAAAATGACATATGCTTATACTTGATTCCCTATGAAGCCAAATTGAAAATTATCATAGTAGTAGAAAAAAAGAGGAAACCAATGGGAAATAGATAAACCTATTTTTAAAATGTACAAGGCGCTGTCTCATGTCAAGAACCAATCTGTGTGTCCAACTAAGCAATGGTGCATTCCACTCTGCTTTTAATTGCCTCCCTGTTTTTAACTAGACTTATGCTACTGTTTATTTTAATAAACCCTTCTTCCTTGCTTCCTTAAATAAATGTACAACACACTTTCCATTTGAAACACAAAGGAAAGTCAGAATAAATACAAGAGACTTTAGAATCTTGTGATGTTAATTTTATCTTGATAACATGGGACCACAAGAATGTCCCATCTACAAGATTCATGCCAGATATGTCTAGTGCTAGGAACTTGTCTTTTACCTGGCAAAATCATATCCGTGGAATAAACTGAACAGCTATCTGTTCAGACTGTTCCAAGTTATTCAGGCTAACCCACACTTTTTACCTTCCAAAAACATCTGAACAGATAGGTGGAGACCAGAGTGTGATCAATATACAGAAAGGACTGCTACAGGCAGTTATAGCTTGCACCATTTCTTAAGAGAGCAACTAATAACAAAAGAGAAATCACTTGGCACTGTGGCTATATGAAAGAATCTTATTTTTCAGGATTGTAATAATTTCTCTAAAAGCTTAATTTTTAATGAATACTGAACATTTCCAGGGTTTTTTTTCCCCTTCCTAGCATGTTTCTTCTAAAAAAATCAATGACACTTTTCCTTAGTTTTTAACTTTTTTAATACAATCTTCAAGACACAGTAAAAATTTAGGAAAGCAGAAAACTAATCATTTATCTTCTGCTTGTGTTAATGCCCCACCAATGAAAATGTATTCAGAGAGTTATCTTAAAAGAGTGAGATAAAGTCCTTGGTTTTATTATCTCTGGCTTTCTTTTTTCCCAGAAACTTTGTTTGGAAGGTCAGGAAATTATAAAACTGTTAAAAAGTAATTTTCATACAGAGTTATCCTGCCCAGTGTTTTCCAGTTTGTTAGAAAACAGGGCCATGGGTGTGCTGTGGAAGAAGTGGACACTCTTTCCTCGTTGTTAGTGCTGTGTCCAGAGGGCCCACAACAGGGACTGGCTTTTTGTCCCTTCCTAAAAATGGAAGCCAGCTATAATACAACCCAAAGCCATTTTTAAAGGAAGAAGTTGCCCAGGAGAGCAAAGCAAAGGGGAGGAGGGGTGATCTGGTTGCAACTCAGAAGCAACTATCTATTATACTGACAAAACTCAAAACCCAAATGCTTTGCTGTCAAGGTTATCCTAGTTTTTTGAGTGCTGAAATAGTAAAAATCCAGTGCTATATAAACCATGACCCTATATGGTTACTGTGGTAGAACTTGCCCCTAAGTTTCTCAAGACTATAGTCTTTTGGTTCCCAGCCAAGCACTTAAAACACCACACCAGGGTTTCTGAGGTTTTAACAGGATCTCAGAATTGATATGGAATAGATGCCCTCAAGGATGTTAAAAAGAGGTGAAAGGACAAAATATCAACACATCACAGCCTGAAAGACAGACACATATATGTAGAACATATATATACACACATACATAGAATATATATATACACACACACAATGAAAAAGACTTCAGAGGCAAACTTGAACCTTTATTATACCAAACAAAGATTCTTAAGGGTAAGGGAGTGCCTCATTCCTAATCCAGATTCATTAGCTATGAAATAGGACTTTGTAAAACTTTCCTGCCACAATTTGTCCATTCTCTCAGGAGCATCTTCATCCTTGGTTCTCATACAGTAACAATAAGTACACCCTTATTCTGTCTAATTATAACCCAAATCCACTGGTTGGCCCCTAACTTTTGAGTGGTTATTTTTTCAGAAGTTTTTGGTATGAGAACCTCTCATTTTTAAGGGAAAAAACAAATGCTACAGAAGATAGTGAAAAATAATAAAATACCTGATTCCAGTTTGGTTGTCAGATGTGCTGAGAGAGCCACACTGGAAAACAAGATCATGGTAAGAAGGTCTTTGTGGAGGCAGTGGAAGTAGGGTCATCTGAGGGAGAGAATTAGTACTCCAGGAAGGTTGCTCTAGAAACACTGTAATCTTCTCAGTTAGCATCTCAATTGTTTTGCTGCAAGAGCCAAATATTCTGAAAAAAGCTTGAGTGTTTCGGCATAAGAAGTGCACCTCCAACAGCACAGGTTTTGCATGTAGTAGTTCTTGGTTTAAGAGATCAACCAGAGAATCAAGTTCATAGAAAACAGCCTCTCTCTGAAGCCTAAAGTAGTCTGAAAAGTCAGTAGGTAGTAAAAGCTGTTGAGTTCTCAAAAAATCCAATATAAAACTAAATAAAATACCATCTCTGTCCACAAATATTTGATCAGCAACTGTCTTGAATTCTTGGTCTTTGCCATCTAACATTCGTGCTAATCGAGAAGCAGGAAACTGCTTTATAGTAGACACCCTTGTTGTATAGACTTTCCCTCCCACATTCAAAGTGACCAGCTCCTGACTACTCATTCCTCCCTTGTTTCCAGCTAGAGGCTACAAACTATCAGCCACAGACTCCAAAGTTTGTAAAACCACCTGTATCCATAAATGTTCACTCATAATATGATTAAGAAACAGAGGGGGATGAAATAAAAACCTGACCTAAATTTCCAGGTAACTATTACAAAGCAAATAGTGTAACCATAGTTGTATTTGCAAAGGTGAGTTGCTTAGGGATTGTACACAAAATGAAAGGACCAACAAATGAGGCACAGAATAGTATTTAAGGAAAACAGCTAATGTATCTGAACAGAGGTCAAATAGATCCCTTTTTCCCATTACAGTGATTAGTTATAAAAATTAACTCTATACATATGAATAAAACAAAAAACCAAACAAAACTGGGAACAAGAAAACAGCCCTCAACCCAGACCACTTATGTGTGACCCCTGTGAGGTAAGCAGCACCCATCACTTTACACCAACACTGTGTTAGAGTCTAGTCTTTCAAATCCTATTCTACTTAATGGACTTTCAAAACTATGTCTGGTTCCACAAAAGAAAAAAAGACTAGAAAGTGATTCTAAGATAAGGGCTATTTTTTTTCTCACCTGAATTCTAAGCAAGGTGAAAAAAATTAAGTCATTTTATTCTGTGATAATCTTATGGTAACAGATAACACACCACTATAGCTAATTAATAGCTGCTTCATCTGTTATCAAATTAGTATCACATTTCTTTAAAAATACAAAAGTGTATTGGTTGTACAATAACTCCAACACTTAGCTGCCAGTAAGAAAGGGGGCTTTCTCATGTCCTCCTCTTAATACATGTTAAAACTTTTTTCCTTTGCATACAGCCTACCTAACAATTCCAGGTGTTCCTTTGGTGATAAATTTACAAGTACTAACAGGGAAAAGTTAGGCTCAAAAACTATCCCTCCTAAAAATATAAACGTAAGAAAAACTTTTTTTTTTTTAACATTAGATTTATATTTTGGCAATGATGGGATCAACCCTGTTGGGGTCAGGGAGAAATCATCAATCCTGCCACATCTTCAAATTATCTTTAAGAATATTCACTTTTAAACCATGTCATTAATAAAGTCTTAAATCATATGTTCTTTCACTTCCCAGTTTTATCACTATGTAAACACAACTCATATTGGTGGGAGGGGGCTTACTTCAAAAGCACTTTCTTAAAAAAAGGAGGCACAAGACTGCACTACTATACATTTTCATCATGTATACTACTAAACTGAACAGGTCATTATTTTTTAACTGAATGTTTCTGAAGGAGATACTAGTATCATGACCAAATCTTAACTACCACTCCACGTTTTAGCACATCATTACTATCAAAGGACAGAGAATTGTTTATTTTAAACAGATTTTATAATAGTTTATATTTGCACACAAATTCTGCCACATTGTTCAGCACCATCAAAGTATAATTCTTGACTTTTTCACTGAAAATGAAAATCCCATCTGTCATCTGTTCCCAGTAAAAAACTGATCGTTCTAAAAAATCAGCTGATTTAGTAAGATAGCAGGAACTGAAGTTTGAGAGATGTTCTTTCCAAGCTGTAAATTCATCAAATACTGACCATTCCAAGGACATGGCAGGACCAACGGAGATGAGAAGGCCAAGCAGGAGGAGGCCTACAAATAACTGATAAAAGCTCCAAGGAATCTTGCTAATGAAAGTGCCAGTGTCTTGAGGCAGGGAGAGTTTATCCACATCTACTAGTTTTATATCTTCCCACTGACTGGTATCAAAATTCTTCATTAAAGGGTTTGTGGGCAAATTAGAGGGAGGTAAAGGCGTTTCCTTAATTACTTTGATTTTCTCTCTGAATTCCTGCATTTGTTGCAGAAATATAATGGGTTCTGACACATCTTTGAAAGCTTCAGCAATGTTAAAAGCCATTCGTTGCTCCTGTAAGATGGTGTTGAGTTTGTTTATTTCTGGATCATAGGATTGCATCACTGCAAGTTTCATGGTCTCAAAATCAGACAAGATTTCATTCTTCTTTTGATCCAGTGTGTGTTGTAATTTCTCAAAAAACTCCTTCACTTTATCTGAATCTTTAGTCAGTAACTGTAGGGATTTTCTCTTGCTCGTTTCCAAGGTATCCAAGCGAGAAAGAGCATCTCCACGCCGCCAGGTTTCAAAACTCTGGAAGAGAGACTCAAAGGCATTCCTTTCCTTTGCATAGGCATCTTCAATAGAACAGAAGACATGCTTGGTATGGTCACCACGAGTAGCACAGATGCCACAGATCAGCTGCATGTCAGTCAGGCAGAAAATGTTCAGAGGCTGCCCCAGGTGTCCTTTGCACACTGGCATTTTGGGAGAGATCTTGATTTTGTTATATTTTTCCACAATACCCTTCAAGGAGTAATTGACCTGCAGGCTGTTGACTCCAGTAGCTGAAGTTTCCTTGCGGCAGGTGGGACACTTGAATGGAGCTGGTCTCCAAAGTGAATTTCGCACATTCCCCTCTAAGAGCCCTTCCAAACATTTTTTGCAGAAGTTGTGTGAACAGGGCAAGACCCGGGGATCATCAAACAGACTGCAACAAATTGGACACGTGAGATCCTCTTCAAGCAGCTCCATCACATCCTACCAAAGGAAAAAAAAAAGATGATTTTACTCCAGTAATCCCCTCTACCAGGACCTGTGGAGTGAGAAAAGGTTACCTTTGTTGGCATTAGAAATGATCAAAAGTGATCAGCCAAACAAAAGAAATGAGTGACAAATTTAGGAAGAGAATGTAAACCAAAGCAGGTATGATCCACTGAGACCAGAACACACTCATTAGTAGGGCAGCCCATACACAAGGCCTTTGTCTGGACTTTTCCAACAACAGTCTTTGGCTGAGGGAGAGTTAGGACTAGGACAACTGCAAGTTGAGCCAGCCGGACCCCACTGATTGTTTAAAACAGAGAGCTGACTACCAGCTACCAGAAACAAAGCTAGTCAGTGTCTGAATAGAATGAGTTCTTTACTCTAGGCCCACAAATATAAATGGTATGCTATTTAAAAGAAAGAAGCAGAGAAATACAAATTCAAGCATGTACTCAGGAATTGGCATATTTTTCTATTTTAAAGTCAAGATTATAATTACCAAAAATCCTAAGTGAAAAGACTTGAAACTCACTGCTCCCTAGAGGATTAATGATAGATTCTTTTTAAGTCCAGAAAGTCATCAGAATCTTCCTGTTTTATCCAGAACATCATTCTCATCATGTGACAGGCAGAAATCTAGGTTTCCCAAGATTCCTTCAGGGCACCCATGAGTCAAAACTATTTCCATCATATTAAGATGTTACATGCTTTTGTACCATGTTGACTTCTGCACTGATGATACAGAAGTAATTGTAGGTAAACAGCTGCTAAGTTGTGTATTGTAGAGTCAGAACTGACCCATAGCTGACCCTCAGGCAGGAGGAGATTGCCCATCCTTCTCCCACGGAGCAGCTGTTGGCCTTGAACTACATACCTTAGGGTTTGCAGTGCAGCTTCTTGCTACTAAGCCACAGAGCCTTAAGAACAAAGCAAAACCAAAGGGGGGAAAAATGCAAAACCATGTACAGCACCAGAATGAGACAGTAGTCACTGTATTCTCCACCACATACTCCAAACAGGATTAAGGGTGAAGCAATACAATAAAAATTAGTTTTACTAAATCTCAATCCTTGAGTAAGATCTAGGTCTTCCTATTATTTCAAGTTAACAAATCAAAGTACACAAAAATCTTATACCTACTTGCAGATACTGTCTGGAGCAAAACTTGGTAACACAGAACTGTAAGCTGAATCAGCCACTTTCTGATATGAACACTATTTGTAAAGACTATGATTATTCACTTGCCTTACAGTTTCTAGGTAATAAACAAAATGAAACCTCTCAAAGCAAGGAAAACAACTGACATAACTGTCTGCACAAGATAAAAATGGAGGGGTTTTTTTAAATGACCATTTTGGAGAACTATCTGTCACTGTGAACTGTGAGCTTCCCATTAATTAAAGCCTTTCCATGGAGACACTGGTGATAATAACAAATATGTTTTCTTGGGAGGATGATGTACAGTGAAATAACTGATTTGGCAATCTGTATAACCTTTACTATTTTTTTCAAATTGCCTCATAGTTACAAATCACACCTGGGTACAAAACTCAAAGATTAAAAAACAAACTGAAAGGCTCAACTGACTTCAGCCTCCATACTGTAACTAATCTTTAAGACTACAATTTGTTTCAGTTTGAATATAGTATGAAAAAAGAGTTGTAGGACAGTCTAGTATTACCCCTCCCTTTAACAGCTATGTAATTGTGAGTGGGCATATTTTCTTTACTTTTTGAAACCAACAAAAGCCAGAAACTGTGTAAGTACGAAATCTGTCCTTATTGATTCTCCATTAAAACAAGCAACAGAAAAACAGTAAAAAGCCTCCATCCTGCCAAATGTTGAAAGTTGTGAGAACCAGAAAAATGAAACAGTTCTATTGAGTTTCAGCTCTCAAAAGATTTAACTGCAAATAGTTTTTATTGCAGAAAAATTCAAGCTGTCATCTATTAAACCACTGCCTTAAGAGCTCAATGAGGAATGCCACTCAACTTTTATTTTTTTAAAAGTATTTTCTTAAATTATGCTTATATGAGTTTATTAATATTTTAATGAGATAATTTTTAACTTACCCCTAATACAGTAAGTTATCTATAGGCAAAAGCCACATAAAGAAATGTTCTTGGGATCTTCAATTTTAAGAATAAAGGAATCAATCCTGAGGCTGATTTTTTGAGATCTTTGACCTTAATCTAGAAAATACCATTTCTAAATGCTGATTTATCTTAAAATCATCTCCTCTGCCCCCAAAAGCTTTAAAACCAAACACTGTTACTATTTCTTAATCCATTTACTCAGAAGTGTGTACAGATGTTACAAATAGTTAAAAACTCAGCTATTAACTGAAAGGTTGGTGGTTCAAGTTCACCTGCTAAATCAACCATTCCTGGGTATATGTCCAAGACTTTAAAGGAGAGACTCAAACAAGACTTGTACAGAAATGATTACTGCAGTACTATTAACAAAAATCAGATGTGGAAACAACCTAAATGCCTATAAACAGAAGAACAGATGGATCAACAATGTGGTATATATATATATAAATAAAATGGACTACTCAGCTATGAGGAGAAATGAAGTCCTGATACATTCTACTGTACACATAAAGCTTGAGAACATGCCGAAGTCAAAAGAAATTATTCACAAAAGGATTCATACTTGTATGGCCTTATATAAAATAAAACAAGAGCAGACAATTGTATAGATAAAAGGTTTGTAAGTTACCAGAGGTAGAAAGGAGATGAAGGAAAAGGAGGCTACTTGCTTCTGGAATACTGAATTACAGCTGCCCATCAAGAACCACATTAGGTAAGGGCACAGCAGCACAGCCAATTGTATTAAGTGCTGTCAGTAAGTTGTACACCTATAAAAACGGGAAAAAAGAAGCTGCTGAGGCTGCTTATGTAGAAACACACATTTTCTGGGGTTTGGTTCCTCGCTCTGGAGGTTTACAATCATGGTTTCATGGGACATCCCACTTAAATGGCCTAACAACATGTCCAGTATTTCCACTAGGCAAAAGCATAGTGCCTAAGGTCTTAAAAGCTTGCAGACAGCCACTGAGGGCACAATTTCTATGGAAGCAATAGAGTTTGGAATGGAAGAAGTATCAAGAATGGCAAGAGGAAATGAATGTGTGGCTAATTGTCTCCCTTGCTAGGAGACTAACAAAACTGGATAGGAAAATGCAGAACAAAATTTCTGGGACCATGGATGTGGAATGAAACTACTGTCTTGAGATAACCTTCAAGCAAAAATAATCCCTACAGAGAAGCTGCACTGCAATCCCAGAGGTACATGGTTTGAATCCACCAGATGCTCTGCTGGAGAAAGGGGGGAGCAATGTCCTCCTGTACCAGTCAGATCCGATTTGACTGTACACACACAAAAGTAGTAAAATAATAAAAAAACCCCTCTATTAATAACCTTAAAATTACACAGTAATTTAGCTTTACAAGTTAAAAATGTTTGTTTTGAATATTTAAGAACTATATAAAAGCAAACTGACAACAGAAACTCAAAAGATTAGACAGGAATTTTAGGGGGCAGTGAATTTATATTAACGGACAACTAAAATGGCCAAACTCACTTGGCATTTCTTAAGCTAAGGGAACTAAAGAACAAATTGAAGCCTCGAGTTGTAATACTTAAGGATGCTATGGGAAGAATATTAAATTATCCAGAAAGCATTAAAAGAAGATGGAAGGAGTATACAGAGAATTGGCTGACAAAGAAGAATTTCATAAAACCACTTATGATCAAGAGGCAATGGTGAAGGAGGAGGACGTTCAAGCTGCTCTGAAGGAACTAGAAAAACAAAGCACCAGGAACTGACGACATACCAACTAATGTATTTCAACAAACATGCTGTCCTGAACATGCTCACAGGTTGTGCAAAAAAAATCTGCAGGACAACTTGCCTGGCCAACTAGCTAGAAGAGATCCCTATTTATTCCTATCCAAAAAAAGGTGATCCAACAGAGTAGAAATTATCAAACAATATCACTAATATCACACAAACAAAATCCTTCTGATGATTACCCAAAAATGCCTGCAACAACAGTACATTAACAGCTGGATATAGATGAGGCCATTGCATTAGAGACATTATCCCTAATGTCAAATGGTTCCTGGCTGAAAGCAAAAAGAAATGACTGTGTGCTTCACTGACTATGCAAAGGCATTTGACTGTGTGGATCACAATAAATGTGGTTAACCTTGAGAAGAATGGGAATCCCAGAACACTTGACTATACTCATGCAAAACCTGTACTTGGACCAGGAAGCAGTCATCAGAAAAGAACAAACACTGCATGGTTCAAAATTAGAAAAGTGTGTCATGGACACGTCTTATCTCCATACCTTTTCAATCTATATGTGGAACAGATCATTCAAGAGGCTGGACTTTCTGAGGAGGAGTGTGGCATCAAAATTGGAGGAAGACTCATCAACAACCTACGTTATGCAGAGGATACAACCTTCCTTGCTTGCCAAAACTGAAGAGGACCTGAAGCATTTGTAGCAGAAGGTCAAAGACTGTAGACTTCAACATGGATTGAAGGTTAACATCAAGAAGACAAAGATTCTCACCATTGGGCCAATTGGCAGCACCGCAATAGATGGCGTAGAGATTGAGGCTGTTAAAAATTTCAGCTTGCTTGGCTCCACAATCAACACTCTTGGCACCAGCAGTCAGGAAATCAAAAGATGCATTGGGGAAGTCTGCTGTCAGGGACCTTTCCAGAGTGCCCAGGAGCAAGGATGTCAGGTTCACCTGATCCAGGCCATGGTCTTTCCAATTACTTGCTATGCATCAGAGCTGGACAATGATAGAAGAATGGATGCCTGTGAGTTGTGATGCTGGAGAAGAGTAATGAACATACCATTGACCACTAGGAGAACAACAGATCCGTCCTGGAGACGATGAAACCAGGCTGCTCCCTGGAGGCAAGGATTCTGAGGTTCTGTCTCACACACTTTGGACACGTGGCCAG